ACCAACCTATCCTTTCAGTTTCTGATTGTAGAGGTTTTTACTCTGGTCTGAACACGCAATCTAATGACTCAACCTTTGAACTTCAGCAAATGAGAACTTTGGCTTATTGATCATTTTGACACTCTCATCACTCTTGTTGAGCTTTTGTTCCAAGGTTGAACAATGGCTTCAAAGAGTCACATGTTCTTCCATCACACGACAAAGTTCTTGTTTGAGGGCCGCAATCTCAGAATCCCTTTCACCTATAGTTTTCTGCAAGGCAAACATTTCATTACGTAGAGACTCAATGACAAAATCGTTTTCATCACATACCTGCTTGGAAAACTTCTTCTCGTGTTCAAACATCGTGATTTTGGCAACAAATTCATCCAGCTTATGTTCCTCCTTGCTGGTACGAACTTTAGATCTATTCAGTTTATCATTCAATTTGCCATTCATCACGCGAGTTTTCTGAAGTTCAACCTTCAAGTAGGTGATCTCCTTCTCATGCTCTGCAGAACGATGTTGGAACACCTCGATTTGAGCTTGTAGCTTTTTCACCATTTTTCCAGCTTTGATGCTCGTCTCTAATGCAAGCTTATGGGTTTCCATATCTACTTCAAAAGAACCATCTCCAGAATCATCAGAATCACTATGAGAATTACACGTGTAAGAACATACTTGAATCTGCATCACAAGGCTTTTGAGAGGCTGTATAACACGTGAAGTTGTTGGGAGAAGTGACGACAAAGTTGTTCGTGTATTGATGGTCATCGTCGTCTTCATCATCATCCCACGTGGCTCGATATTTTTTCTCGTGAAATTTGGACAGTATTTCTGAAAGTGTCCAAATCCCTTGCATTCACGGCATTGGTTCTTCTCTACGTCCTGATTCTGAGTCTTCTGAGAGTGTGTGTTGGAACATCGTTCACCAGACTGCTGATTGGTTCTTACTGAAATCGACAGACTTCTTCCCTTGGAATCCCTTTTTCTTCTTTAACGGAGAAAAGTGGCGTGTAAGAACATCCAAAGCCTTAGCAATACTTTCAGCATGAAAAGACTCATCGTCATAATCCTCTTCGTCTTCAGCCTGTGTTGGAACATTGGCTTTCAAGGCTAAGCCTTTGCTCCACACATTGTCAAAACCATTGTTAATTTCAAAAGTACGCAACTCTCCCAGAAGATCATCAATTCCCAAGGGCTGAATACTCATAAAACTTTCCAAATCCGTGATTTTTTCACGAAACCTTTCTGGTAGGGTTCTCATTAGCTTTTGTACTTGTCTTGACTCTGAGACCTCTTCACCAAGCATGGTGCTTTGGTTTACGAGATCACAGAAACGAGCATAGTACATATCTATAGTCTCGTCTTCTCTCATCTTGATTGCACCGAGTTCAGCTTGGATGACTTCACGGCGTTGGTACCTTCAAATTGCCTCTCTAGAATTTTCCATGCATCACGAGCTGTAATGCACTGAATGATTATCTTGTGATGAGTTGGGTCCACCGCCACAATTAATGCGTAGAGAGCACAAAAATTGGCTTCTTCTGCTAGTCTTTTCGCATCAGTCCATAAATCTCTCGGTTTTTCAACAAGAACACGAGGACCAACATTAAGGGACGAGGATTCTTCCTTCTTTTCCGAGGGTGATTTCTCCATCAAAGGTGTTGACCAACCTGATTCGATGACTTGCCAAGTTCCTTTTCCAAGAGACCGAAGAAAAATTACCATCATGGATTTCCAGTACCCATAGTTCGAACCATCGAGGTACGGAGGGCGTGAAACAGACATGTCGTGGTTCATGGTGACCAACCCAAAGATCTTTATCCTGCGATTAGAACAGGAACACTGTTTTGGTGTCAATTGAAATGTATATTTTTAACTCGAGTGCGCAAAACGATGTAAGAACGTGGATAAAAAACATAAATATCGGAAGCAATAAACCGAAAATGTAAAAACTCTTTAGGGAAGCGTCCTACTTCCCCTCAGAGCTCTTTCATTGATAAACCGTTGAACACTTGTATAGTTTGGACTTACACGACTCGAACTCTCTTCTAGTCTAACCACAATTACACACGATTCTACAATTACTTCTCCGGCCACGTCCCGTGGACTTCTACCTCCTGAATCCCTCGAGCTAACCACTGTACTTAATCCCTAAGTACTGATCATAAAGTGTTTGTATGAAAAACAAAAGAAACAAAATAAAAGTCTTCAGTTCTTCGATGGCGTAAGAACAACGAAAAACTGAGTAACGAAAATAAAACTAAAAAGGCTTGAAGCTAGAATATTGAATGGAAGATTTTATTTCAGCAGCCTATCTTCGATCTTCAAGTAGGGTATATATACAACTCCTTAGGGTGGAGTCTTCTCCAAGTTCTTCCTTTCCTTTTAGGAGTCAATTTCCTTCTCAATTGATTGCTTTCTGATTTGGACGAAATCCTTCATGTAAGGTAAGTTTCCTTGATGTGCGTGTATGTGATTTGGCAATCTTCAGAATTGAGCTTCCAATGGAAATCTTGCCTTCCAGAATCGGGTAAGAACATGACTTTCCAAAAATAGCCGATCTTTCAAATCTTCAAAGATCTTGTGGTGAATCTTTCCAAATCCTTCTTAGATCTTCTCATGAATGTCCACAACTCCATATTCACGAATTACTCATCCTTTCATAGTTCTTGCCACTTGTTACTTGTCCTACAAGAAAGAGAGAACTAATTATGGTATGTGACATACATGGTAAATAAATATATAAGATATATATTATGTAATCCTTCTTCTAAAGGAATAGGATTCCATAATACATACTACAATAAATATATACCATATATATTAATAATAAATATTAGAAACTTAATTAAATCACAAGTAAATAAATAGAAAAACTTCCCTTTAATTTACTTTACTTGCTTAACAAGAAATCTTCTAGAAAACACTTAGGTTTGTCGGACACGATGCCAAACCAATGTTCTTACAGTGTAGATATATTGTATGTTTACATCTTTGCCCTCTAGTGATAAAAATAATT